TAAAATATGTAAATTTCGAAAATATAAAATTATCATATATCAAAATACGACTAAATGCCCATTCAAAAGTTATAAACAAGACTAACAATTAGTAACTATTAACTAGACCTCTACTGTATGCAATAATAATAAAAAATATTTTTGTTAGAATTTATCTTCATCTTTATACAACAGAGGTCTACATAGTCGTTACTAAGTGTTGTTTATAACATTTTGAATGGGCAGTTAAATGGATTCTTTATTGTAATTTTTATCTCATAGGAATGACACCAAATCGGGAAAATGGCAACTACTAATGCTGCTTGGTTTTTAGAAAAAAATCTGACCGCAAACTTAACATTTGTTGACCCGTTTATCAAGGTAACCTGAAGATTCAAAAGTTACAAATCCAGAGACCTAATCGAAATCTGAATGTTTAAGGTCGCCAAGAGACACATAAGAGACATAGGTGCATGAAGTGTTAGGGACTTCTTTAGCCTCATCATCAAAAGGTCGTCAGTCCTAAGACTGGTTCGACACGTACCTCCACTCTTTCCTATACTAAGCTAAACTTCGCATTTCCCTAAAACTAGAACAACCCGCATCCTTAACTATTTGCGAACAGTAATCTTATCTAAGTCTACCTCTACCCCTTCTAACTCCTGCTTCTGCCTCTGACTAGAAGTTCATGTCTGAGAAGATGTCCTACCAACCTATCTCGCCTGTTTCTTATTGACTTCCATAGAGTCCTCTGTTCTCCCATTCTTTCTAATACCTCTTCATTTGTAACCTTTTCTATCCACGTTATCCTCATCATCACCACATTTCGAACGCTTCTAACCTTTTCTTTTCCCACCGTCCATGTTTCGTACCCGTACAACGCCGCGCTCCAAACATACACCTATAACAGCCTTTTTCGAATTTCCAAATTAACCGTTCGCGAGCATAGAAGTGACTTCTTTTTATTAAAGGCGACACTCTCTGCTTTATATCCCTACTACTCCTTCAGTCATGACTTATCTGACTTCCTAAATATCTAAAATCAGCCACTTCTAATTTTTCGTCTCCTATCTTTATATTCTTTAGCCTACTACTAATAATTATTTTCTTTTTAACGGTTTACCTTTTAAAAAGCCTTATTTTCCATTTTTTCTTCGGTGACAGCTTTACCTTGAAGCAGTCTTAATTGTTAACAATAAAAAATTTTCAAATTATCTTTGGAATACGCACAGTATACTTTAAAACAGTACCGTCAATTACGGAACAGTGATCTACACATTTCAGCCATTTAGATCATGTATGTTGTTAAGACCAAATTATTGTACTAGGATTTCATTAAAACTTAATAAACCGAGTAACTATGATATAAAGCCACAAATTCTGCATTTTGAGCAGCTGGGCCAATTTCGCTGGGTGACAGTACTTCGTAGATGTATTGTCAATATAAATTTATTTTCATTTATACATCATACAAGTATATTTAACAGTAAGTGCTGGCTAGTAATCTTTTAGCGTGAATAAAGCATACTTTGTTTTGGGAGTCAACTACATGTATCCCATCACTTGAGGGTGGCTGTGGTTCTACGTATCTACATAGGTATATATTTTCTTATTTCGTTCATATGTCTATTTAGTGAAAGAAAAATAAAAGACATACCATGTATTCCGAACTTTTCTGTGTTCCATGGCTTGCTTCAATTGAAGATTTAGATCCCTGAAGTATTTCTTCCAAATATTCTATGTATTCGATGGCACTGCGCAAAATTTCGACTTTCGGCAATCTCTGCCCAGGATTGTTACAACTTCGTCGTTTTAACAATTCGAAAGCTTCGTTCACCTGAAAAAATAAATCTAAATTATACAATTATGCTAAGCATTATTACATCGAATGTCATCATCATCAAAAAGTCGTCAGTCCTACGACTGGTTGGACACGCACCTCCAGTCCTTCCTATCCTGAGCTAATCTTCGCATTTCCATAAAATTTGAAAACAGTAATCTAATCTAGGCCTACCTCTACTCCTCTTAACTCCTGTTTCGCCTCTAATATGTCTCTGAAGAGACCTTCATGCCTGTTTTTTATTGACTTCCATAGAGTCCTCTGTTCTCCTATTCTTTCTAATACCACTTTATTTCTAACCTTCTCTATTCACGGTATCTCATCGTTTGCCAATAACATCACATTTCGAACGCTTCTAACCTTTTCATTTCCGCTGCGCCCTCCGTCCATGTCTCGCACCCGTACAGCGCCGTGTTTCAGACACCTTTAACAATCTTTTTGGAACTGCTAAAGTAACCGATCGCGAGCATAGAAGTGACTTCTTTTTATTGAAGGCGACTCGACCCTGTGCCATCCTCTGCTTTATGTCCCTACTACTCCTTCCGTCCTGACTTATCTGACTTCCTATATACTTAAAATCAGCCAATTCATCTAATTTTTCGTCTCATACCTTTATATTTGCTCTTTCCCTACTTTATTTTCCCTTGCATACCAGTATTTTTGTTTTACTTTTATTATCATTTTCATACAATACTGTTTGGTCAATACCGTTTCCATTTTATTTAAAGCTATCTCTAACTCCTCCTTGCTAGATGCTAATACTGCTATATCATCTGCAAATCTAAGCATACTAATCTTTTGCCCCCGTATATCTACCCCTACAGTTGTACTGTCTTTAATGATGTTGATCGTGTTTTCAATGTATAGATTGAAAAGCAGCAGTGACAGTGTGTATCCTTGTCGACATCGAATTTCGCAAATACTAGAAAGGGAATACGACAAGAATGTGCATTGTCATCTTTTTCATTTTAATTTTTATATTGAAGACAGAACAACGTTAGGAATAAACATACAGGGACAAAAGATTAGCATGCCTATATTTGCGGAGATGATAAAGCAGTATTAGCAACAGGTAAAAAGAGACGTTAAAATTAGCTTTAAATAAAATGGAGGCGGTATTAACTAAAGCGTATACTATTGACTAAAGGGTATAGCATGAAAATTAATAAAAATAAAACAAAACTAATGACATGTTAGGGATGTAAAAGTAGGGTTAGAACCAATATAAAAAAGGGAATCGAAAAAATTGTCCATTTTTAAGAAGTTAAATAATTGAGTATGGAAATGGTGCTAGAGATATAACACAAAGAACACCGCAGGATCGAGCCACTTTTAACAAATGAAATTCGAAAAGGATTCGCTATTAAAAGTGTTTGGAGTACGTTTTTGTAATTCAGAACCGCTCGCTTTTACAACTCAACCAAAAATAATCAAGGGACTCATCGCTTATCGTTCTGTTGGTGTCATTTAAATCAATAATAACTTATTTACTTTAGTTTTTCGTGTTCGTATTAACAATAAAAAAATAGTATCAATCGATCGTAAATAGTTCGAATAATTTCGTACCCACTTGAAATATCTCAAATGAATGCAATAATCGCGATTGGCTGATTTGTCGTTCGAATGACACCATCTTTACTTTTAATATACATAAGTTAAAATTGTTATAACATACAATAACAACAATTGAAGAAGAGGATTGTAATAATGAAAGTAGGTTGTTCTTTATAATAAACATTGCAAACTTTAAGCACTTACTAGTTTCAAACTTTAAACTTCAAAATCATTTAACGAATTGCTATTATAGCTAATTATAAATTATGAATCCGTTAAAGCATTAAAGTGGTCAATTAATAACGACAGAATACAGACCACTTCGAATTATTTTATTCGATTAAGCTAACGTGCCTATCATGTTGAGGTTGGCTGCCCCGGGATTCGTTCTCAGCAAGTAGATATCCACACAAGTGGACCTTGTTGGAGCATACGTAATCCTAAAATGTAGCATCGTGCTACAGATGGCGTTTACTGCGCCATTTGTAGTATTTTCTAAAACGCACTGTTAAGAGAACAGGTAAAAGTTGGTCCGTGTTCTGTCGGAGCTGCCTGCGACGCGCTGATGAGATCCAAAAAGATCGAAATCGCGATCCGCGTCTGGCAGTTTCGACAGAATACAGACCACTTCGAATTATTTTATTCGATTATGATAACGTGCCTATCAGGTTGAGGTGAGCTACGCCGGGATTCGTTTTCAGCAAGTAGATATCCACACAAGTGGACCTTGTTGGTGCATACGTAATCCTAAAATGTAGCATCGTGCTACAGATGACGTTTACTGCGCCATTTGTAGTATTTTCTAATAACGTAGGTATTTTTAATTGTCTGTTAAATGCGGAATGTGATTTAGATATTACTAGTTCTTCTCAGCACGACATATACAATTCTTACGGAATATTGACAAACATAGACGGTGTGCTAAAAAAGCCATCTCTATAGTACAAATTTGCAACCGATTATGAACTGTAGTACTCTATTACTCTGGTCGTCAATCAGCAGGAGTTTAGGTTTGTCTTTCCATACCAATGGACTAAAAAGTATTACGAATTTTACATTAAAAGTTCCAACATGAAAGTCGGTCTTGAAATTGCTTTTACAGCTTTGGGCTCCGAATAATGAAAAGAATGGCAACGGAACTGTAACTAATCTTAATCTTTTTCCTTTTATTTCATATAGAAATGAAAGTTGTCATTCAGTAGGAAATTCCAACTTTATACTAGTTAATGATTTATGAGAAAAACTTAACGTCATGAATTGGCTATTTAGAAAGACAGAATCCAAACATAAATGCTTCGTTTAAAATTATATCTATAGGGATTCCATCTCCATCATAAAAAAAAGGAACTGACAACGGCTTTAGAACGTTAGAATGGAAGTCAATTGAACGCTTTTACGTTTCAATAGAGAATTTTATTTAAGTAATATTTATGTAATATCGAACAATTGTAGAAATGTAAAGTGAAAAATTGTACCTAATAGGGAAACAACGGAAAATAAAAATTGAATTTTTCAATTTTCAATAGTTTCTCTAATAACCCCGTCTCGGCAATAGACGAAGTTCGTTTTTACTTCTCAGGGGAAATTATTCCGATAAGTTTTTGTCTTACAATTAAATCGTAGGTATCAATCTCCTCTGATAGTACACTCGAACTAGTTGACTATTACAACGCCTAAGCAAAAGATAGAAGAGTTTCTTCATAACATAATAAATGCAATAACAGAGAAGCAGGCCTCATACGCAGAAGAAATCTTTCAAGATACAAACCACCAGAAAATGATGGCAATTCAACGAAAAGCTATGAGGAAGATAACAGGTGCTCCCTATTATATCTCCAGCGAAGATTAAAGGAAAGAGTTAGCTCTGTGTCACCCACTAGAAAGAGCCAAAATGAGCAGACAAAAACTTATTAAAAGTTTAAAAAATGGAAGCAACGAGTATAGAAAAGATATTGGACACAAAATGTCCTAAATAACAAACTATTAATACTAATGTTGGTGCAGTCATAAGTACAAAGTACTTGAAACCACAAAAACAGAGATGATCCAATGAGTTTCTTGACCATATATTTGATTTCCAAGATGTTATCATTTGATCAAATTTTTTTTATCAAAATTCAAAATGAAACAAACACTANGGCTGAAACTATAGCTACAAGCTATCCAAGGATGGTACTATAGAATGTCACCTCAAGGTAGGCCTAGTGGCGTCATCTCTTGGTTAGGCCGGAAACTTATCAATCCACCCTCGTAGATATAGACGCATGAACTTCAATTTGTAGACAACACTGATAATAGAACCAACAACGTGACGTTATTTAGTATACACACTAGTTTTATCGAATGGATATTGAAGAAAGCGTACGTGTATTATGTAGTCTATGCCTGTGAGTATGGAACTTCACTTAATTGAATGTGCTTTGAATAATGCATCATCTACGTCCGCGTGTAATGCTGTTAAAGGTCCTATGATACAAAGAAAGTATTTAGATAATTTCTGAAGAAAACAGAAAAAATAATGTGACGTACTTTTTAACCAAACTAGCAGAAATTTGACATTATGTAGAATGCACCTAACGTTATGGTCATATAAACCCGTGCGTATGAACCATAAGCTAAATAACATCAACCTGTTGATTTTATAGTCAGAAAGTGCCCACTGTAGATTAATGTTCGTGCATCTGTGTGATGTATGAACACGTGTCGATAAATGCACGTACATGTAAGTACGTCCAAATCTATAAATTTGTCATAACTACAGCATAATACAAACATCTTAAATCAATCTTATCTAAAAATTATGCAAGATTATATTGTGGACTAGGGCAGGCTCGCTGGAGCAGGTTTCCTTAAATGGTTGAATTTCAGCCGCTGTCTTTACATAAAAATACTTCTAGATACCCCAATTCCCAATTGCAAACAATTATAGAAGTTATTGATATAAAAATCTCACCCAGAATGAGAACACATTTCATTTAATAACTATATTAGTCTTGAAAATAAACATCTAGGTTCAATTATCCAATTGTTGGCATGGAAATAATGTACAACATTACAAAATTTAATTACCTAAAACGATTTAAATAGCACCTATTGATATTTCCAAAATGTAAGAATTTTTGAAATGCCCATGTTTTAGTATTGATTGGCATTTTTCTTAATTCTTGTTTTTTTGTTCTTTTATTAATTGATACAGAAAATTCAATTATTGGCATAGCAATATGGCTAATGATTGACACTTTCCAATTATTACTAAACTAACAGCAACCGCAAGTAGCAAGTCTAAAATTAAAAAAAAAAACATAATGCTGGGAAAAAGGTCAATTTTGAAACTATTATAAATTGCAATCCTATTAAAACTGAGAAGCGTAATGAACAACAGGGTTTATTGTTTATTTATTTTTTAAAATACTTAAATAAAAACAGGAATTTTACTATTACTT